CCCTAAGGCTCTAAGGACTCATATATAAGCCTTTGGAGCCAACTACCATACTATATAAGGCTTTTGGGCAATTTTGAGCCTCAGGTACAGCCCTGAAGTCTTCCCTACACCCTAAACCCTAAACCCTAAACCCTAAACCCTAACCCTAGACTACTCTGAGTCTTAGGGTTCGAGCGCGTAGACCCACCCCAAATTCCGATGGAGGCTCCCAGTAGCTGGTAAAGCCCCGATCACCGTGCGACGTAAGGCAGAGGCAGCGAGATTGTAGGACTCCTGGGGCTTATCGGGTTTAGGGTTGAAGGTTTAGGGTTTAGGGTTTACAGGGCCTATGGGGCCTAGAGGCAGCGAGATTGCAGGACTCCTTAGGAACACGGTGTAGGGCCTGTAGAGCTTGGGGTCTATAGGGTGTATAGGGTTTAGGGCTCATCGGGCTTCCAGGGCCGAGGGGTCCAAAGATCACCGGGCAGTCCTGGCAGCTGGAGCTGTTCTCCTTACTTTACCAACAAGCCAGGGACAAAAAAGGCTAAACTTTCAGATAACTGCTAAAGAATCACAACCCAAAATGTTTAAACCCTAAACCCTAAACCCTAAACTCTAAACCCTAAACCCTAAACTCTAAACCCTAAACCCCAAAGGTTGGGTATTGGGGGGGAAACTAAGTCTCTTCAGGCTTGGCTTGGCTCTCGCCCGGCACTTCCGCTGCCGCATCGGCCTTGAGCTTGTCGATGGCCGGCCTCAGGGGTTTCGGGCCTTAGGGTGTTGAGAGGTTTTAGGGTTTAGGGTTTCGGGTGGTAGGGTGTTTAGAGGTTTTAGGGTTTAGGGTTTAGGGTTTAGGATTTCGGGTTTCGGGTTTAGGGTCTTAGGGGTTTCGGGTCTTAGGGTGTTGAGAGCTGTAGGAGGTATGGGGCTTAAGGGTTTAGGGTTTAGGGTTAGGGTGTTGAGAGCTCTAGGATGTATAGGGCTTAAGGGTTTAAGGGTGTTTAGAGGTTTGAGGGTGTTTTAGAGCTTTAGGAGGTATAGCATAGGGCTTCAGGGTTTAAGGGTGCTTGGGTGGTAGGGTGTTTAGAGGTTTTAGGGTTTAGGGTTTCGGGTTTAGGATTTCGGCTTTCGGGTTTCGGGTTTAGGGGTTTCGGGTCTTAGGGTAGGGTGTTCCCAGAGACTCCAAAAGGCCTTAATTAAGGGATATACCTTAAATCATTTTATAGTTTAAAGTATATTCTTTAATTAAGGGGTTTCGGGTGGTGTGGTGTTGAGAGCTTTAGGATGTATGGGGCTTAAGGGTTTAAGGGTGTTCGGGCTTCCGGGTTTTAAGGATTCTAGATTCTAGAGGTTTGGGGTTCTGGGGGCTTCCGGGGTTTAGTGGCCGTCAAGCTTCAAACTTTGAGGGTCTGGGGTTCAGTGTTTAGGGTTCAGGGTTTAGGGTTTCAGAGTTTATAGGGCATCAGTGTGCTAGCAATTTGGCTTCATTTATGGGCGTTGAGCCATCATTCCACCTACCTTTCGGGGTTGGGGCAAGACCGTAAACCCTAATTAAAATGGTCCAAGACATGATCTGCATATATCCGTATATATATATATATGTATAAACATACTCTCCTGTATATATCCGTATATATATATATATATTTTTTTTTTCCCGAACACTAAGTTATGTAACCGAAGCCCAGGTACCTCATCATGGGACCATTGGACCCTCAGGCTATAACTCCGGTAATGCAGGGGCTTTAATAATAAGACTAGGGTTTTGGTAGTTCTTTATTATAATCAGAGTATAATATACCCCATACCCTATTCTCATCATTAAGGCCCCGAAACCCTAAACCCTAAACCCTGAAACCTACACCCTAAACCCTAAACCGTGATTATGACCCTGAAACCGAACACCCCAAGCCCTTCGACCCAGGTGCAACGCCGGCACCGCATCGAGAAGCGGGCTTCCAGCGGTCGCCTGCGTCACCTGTGCGGGGGGGCTCGGGCTTAGAGTTTAGGGTTTAGGGTTTAGGGTTTAGGGTTCAGGGTTTAGGGTTTATACCTGGGACTCTACGTATAGTCTCCATTGTAGCTCCTTTTTGGGGATACCTTATAAAATATAACTGGGTAAACCAACACAAGGAACTACAATGGAGACTATAGGTAACTACCTACAGTTTTATGTTTTATAGGTGCTAACTATTAATTAAGGAGTACTGGCTGCTAAACTGTGGGTAAGGAGAGTGGCAGGTATGTTGTTCAGGGTTGGGGGTTTAGGGTTCAAGGTTTACGGGTGGAACCGCACCCCCGGGCACCCGCAATCCGTCTTGTATAGGGGCCCGCCCATAAGCTCAATGAGGGGTACAAGCTAGTAGCTAGACTAGGACTATCGAGGAATTTAGTCAAATCTCGTCTAGATCACGTTGTAGTTATGTATGTAACGGTTGGGACATTTTGTCCTGAAGGGAAGAGGGTATTTAAGCCTTACACAGGCTCTCACTCCGAATGACACCGTGGCCTGCCTGCAGCAGACAAAGTTACGCTTTGGAGGTCGTTAAAACCTACCTCAACAAACCCCCAAAAGCAGGCAAAGTAATGGGCCAACACCTCCAAAAGGCCGTTCTTCTACATATCTTTGGGTACAGGTAAACCTAAAAGGCTGTTCTTCTGCATACAGGTAAACCCAAGAGGCTGCTCTTCTACGTATCTTTTGGGTCCAGGTAAACCCAAAAGCCTGTTCTTCTACATATCTTGGCCATATCTTCTGGGTCCTAAAAGGCTGTCGCTGTCATTCTACCTATCTTTGGGGTCCAAGTAGACCCCAACCCCTAAACCCTAAACCCTAAACCCTAAACCCCCAAGTGTGTGGCACTGCTCCGACCTGGCTTCCGACAGCCGCGTCCGAGGAAGTCACGTCCAGAGTTCCCGTGGCCTCACCGAGCCTGAGACTTTTGGGGTTTGCCCTAACGTAGGGGCCTATATTAGAATAGGGTTTTGAGGGATTCCTTTAAAGGGTTCCTTAAACGGTTCTATAAGGACTACAAAAAGGGTTTAGGGATAAGGGGCCTTGATTAATTAGACTAGGGTTTGTTTTGGGGCCCATAAAACTATAGTGAGAATAAGGAGCCCCCAAAAATAGTAGAGGTAATTCTTAAAGCCTCTATATTAAACCCTAAACCCTTAAGGTGTGGTGTTCAGGATTAGGGATTTAGTTGTAGAGCTTCAGTATAGTGACTTTTTTGTGTACAAGGCACCAGAAAGTGTGCTTAGGAAATTATGTCGGGGCATGATCAATTTCAACTTGGTTCGCGGCGTGTTCTAGTATAAACGAACAGGATATGGTCCGTCTCTGAAGTCAGAACTCTAAACCCCAACACAAGGCTCCTTATTAAGATTTCCTTACATAAGTCGTTAAAAAAATGAGGGTTCCGAAGACAGGGGACCCTAATATAGTACCCCAAACAGTAGGATCCGTATTATAAGGACCCCAAAATAAGGTACCTCTCATTTTCGGAAACCCCCCCGTGTTGCTGGGGTTCAGGCAGCTCCCGGGATCTATGGTTCTGTAAGGTTTAGTGTTTAGGCTTTACAGGCCCGCGTTTAGTCGGGCCAGCTCTCTCTAGGCTTTGCTCAGCAGGGCCTATCTCCAAGAGCATAGGTCGAGTTCAGGGGTATGATGAATCATAAGCCGTTATTAATCATTGAGGTTCAGGTACGTTCTGGAGCACAAGGGGTTCCGATGTCTCTGTGCTTGAAGTTTGGCAACGTCCAATCTAAGGCTTACCAGACGACGACACCTCCTATTCATTGCCGAACTGGACCGGCTGATCCCAACTTTTAGCCTAGCAAAGGATCCCCGACAATTCTCGGATGTTCTCTCACATCCTCATAGTATAAAGCCCGCGGAAACCCCCAGTGTAACTAGCAGCAGGCTATGCGACAAGCTACACGCCCTCTGTAAAACCTTAGCCAAAAGCCCAACACCCCAAACCCTAAAACCTCACACCCCAAAGCCACCCCCCCAAAGCCGCAAGAGCCTGAAATCCCAAACCCCAAGGCTTATAGGGTTTAGGGTTTATAGGGATAGAAACCCTACTTAGCCTTACAGAACCCCCTTGTTTTGGCCATGCATCGAGGCCAGCTGCTGCCAATCCTCGCTGCTTCCGGCGCAGCAAGCCATGGCTAGTCGCTGTGGGCTTGCCTTCTTCAGGAAAGTCGGGTCCGGTTCAGGGCTTTAGGGTTTTAGGGCTTTAGGACTTTAGGGCGTCAGGGCTTTGGGTTTAGGTTTTAGGTTTTTTTTTTTTTTT